TTAAGCATCTGGCCCACAGCTCAGGCCATATTATCAAAAGTTCTAAGTTAATACTTACACACCTTAAAAAACACAGTGTTTTCAAAAGTGCTCAGCATCCAGCATCTCCTGCTGTGAAACACGGGTCAGGTTTTCAGGGGAGTGCAGCACAGTGGGATCACCTATTTTTCATGCCCAACTTGAGACACTTGGTGAATTCTGAGGGTTCATCTGCCCTCTGGAATTCAGTGATTTTGTTGAGATAAATTTAATCTCTAATCACATTTTATGTTGCTCAACTCAATGAAAGGAAACTTTTTGCCGTTCTGTTCAAACAAGAGACTTGTGATAGCTGCAAGACAGAGTTCTAGATGTGAGAAAGAGTATAAGTGTGTCTGATTCAGGACAAGGATCAACAACATCAGTTCATCAGTGCACGTATGACACCCACTTCACACTGCAGGCAGTCTGTAGCTACAGTTTAAAACAGACTAAAAATGGAGGGCAGGGAGCAACACAGCTGTTTGCAGTCTCTCAACTGATGCTACTTATCTAACAGATGCATTTATGGTCTTTTCACTAGCATCTTCATAATAAAACCCTTACCCTGAACAAGATGGGGGAAGAGAACTGCAAATAAGAAAGGGTAAGTCATGTTCTTTATTTAGAAAGCCACAGCAATCAGACAAGACAGTTGCTGCTCATGTTGAGAAGATGGAGGAGACAAAGAGAGAGACAGAGAGATGTGATTGAGACCTTATTATCTACAATGTCCTGTTAAGAACTATCTTCAAACAAAACACTTTCAGCAGACAGGATACTGATCAGAGACAAAAGTATTTGAATCTTTTTCCAGCAATGCTGAAAGGATAGAGATGTGAAAATAAAACAGTTACAAAAATACAGAGCTAGGAACCTCAGAGCACTAATGGAAAATGTAAAAATCAAGCACCCTAGTGCCATCAGAACTTTGCATATAATGAACTTCTACCTTACAGAGCAGCCTCCAGTCTTATTTGACAGCTCACAGGGCCATCACTACAAGTTCTGTCATTTCTATATAAATACTAGCCTGCACAGAGAAGTATGACTGGGAAAATCATAATTTCAAGTGTCTTCCAATGAGATATATACCTAGGATGGGATAGAGAGAATGTTCATGGCAACTGGAAAGTTTTTTTGTGGATATGTTATTTTTCATTAATGTCCTTCAAAGAGGGGAATGTAAAAAATTTCCAATAGAAATCATTAAGATAGATCTGGATTTTAATGGGCATAAAGGGCCTCCTGTTCCAGCAATGCCATATGACCCAAATGTATTGGGAGTCCTATGACATATCCACAGATGTGCTCTTTTGCAGACCTCTGAGCCATTCAACCTGGAGCTTAATGCATCCCTGGTTCAAGTTACATAATTCAGATGTGGACCTGTGTTAGTTGGAGGTGGTAAGTTTAACAGAAATCTTAAGTTTGAGAATAAAGCTTTCATTCCCCCAGAGAGTTTCGTGCGTACTGAAATTTTGACTAAGTTTTAATATTCAGCAAAACATGCTGAATATTTAATTTTCTAAAGCAGTGTTACTCTGACCTTCCCTTCCACGATTATAACTGCTGTATAGAAGGTATAGAGAAGTGTCTCTCTCTCTATACTGGAAGAACTTTTACACTTTCTAACTAGTACCATCTGAATTTAATACCTTAGTTGCTTCTTGTTTAGAGAACACAAACAGTGTAGGGTGTTTGGCTACTGTTAGCTTTTCCCATTTTCCTGCTTAAATTAGCACATGAAAACAGTAAAAGCCTAATCCTTGACTTGAGTTCTACACAAGAAGACATGTTCAAAGATCTTGGGGGTATGTAACTGCCTTGACTGTTAGTACAAAATCATTATTCAATGGTTGATTCAAACCCTAAAGTCAAAGTAAAGACTCACGGTTTTCAATTATATTCATTTAAGGCTAAGGCCTAGCTCCACAGCTCACTAAGTTGAAACTCAATGCCAAGGCTAACTGCACAATTACTGGCTGTCTCCAGAAAAGCATCAACAAATAAACTAACATAGAAACTGAACTACTTCATTCCCTACTTGAAAATCGAAGAATTCTGTGGTAACACACACACACACAGACAGATTTCTGTATCTAGCTTTGGCAATTTCACCATAACAAACATTTTTGAGTACATTCGTGAGAACAGATTATTCAGTGCTTGATAACAAAACTTGAAAACTATCGCAAAGTTTTCTGCTAATGTAAAAAATCAGCAGCACACAAAATGGACCAGTCTAGCACACAGAAGACAGTATAAATAGAAAGATATGGATCAATTGTAGTCAAGAATGCACGGGAACAAGGAAATAATTCCTGATATCTCTTTGCCTGAGTGATGTCCAAGTGTCTTTTACAGTGAATAGCAATTTCACCTCTTCTTCTCCAAAGTAAAGTCAAATCAGCCCAATCAACAAAAACTATCCTGGGAGAACACATACAGAAATCAGATATACACAGTAAATCAATAGCCCATTACATTTTTTGCTTATTACTCACAGTAGCTCTCTTAAAAACACACACAAAAAAAAACCCAAACCCAAACCCCACAAAGTTCCAGATAGAACGGAGCTTAGCTGTAGGGTACCACAGTCACACCACAACTGTGCAATGCTTTGGTGACATTTGGTATTAGTGCATTTAGTACATTTAACAGTAGCTGAAACGCGATTTACCAGTTTCACATCAAGCCACAAGAAGCCACAGCTGAAAGAGGAGCTGTTATTAACAAATTAAATTATGTATGTCTCTGTCTCTAATTGAAGTATGGGAACATACACAAAGCTAGTTATATAAGGTTATATTGCTTCCCAACCCAGGTCTTGAAACTACCTCCAGAACCCCAGAATTAGAAGTGTGTACCTTAGTATTCAGCTCCATTGTACTCCAATATTAATGTGGTTTGAATGACAAATTACAGTTGTGAGATAACTTTGGAAACCATTAACCTCCTGCTAGTGGCCATTTTCCAGGTGAAAACAAAACCTAGCTGAACAAGTTCTTTCTCATCATATCCCTCACGAGCAGTAAGCTCCAAACTTCACTTGAGAGCAGTGCTGTCACCATCTGTGAACTGAGGCCATCAGCCGAGTGAGCCCTTTCTCCATCTCACCAGATGTGCAGAATTATGTCTTAATTTAAACGATGGGTGGAGCAGAGCCAGCTGCAGGGAAAGCTCAGGCAGGCAGCCTCCTACAGAAAGCAGGAGGTGGCAGGCGCAATTGGTTACCAACCCTCAGCTGAGACAAGAATTTGAGCTGCGTGAATACGCTGCCTCTCATTCACCCCACACTAACCTAAGCTGTTTGTAGGTAACAGCAGAGGAATTTTAAGATGTGAAGATCCCTGTGCACAGCACAAATGCCTCTGGAGATGTGACAAGTGCTAGTCTCAGTTAAGAGACTTGCTGAGTCCAGAGTCTAACTGTAGTCTACTGAGCCAAAAACTAAGTCTGAGAGCTTTGGTTCAAATGCACAATGGATGCAGAGAAAGTCTTGGGCTAGAAACTGAAAAGCAGTAATGAAAAATAAAAAAAATAAAAAAAAAAAAGAAAAAGAAACAGCAGGGTTCCTTTTCTTTTGATTGGATCTTACAATGACATTAAGTCATGTGGAGAGGGGAAATGGATTGACTGTAACCTTCCTCTTCTCGTAAGGCAGCTAAGGGTTACCAAATAAAGCTATCAAGTGGCATACAAAAGGAGAGAGTTCTTCCAAAAAAATACAGCTACCCATAGCTTCTATAGTTTTCTGTAGATAGAAATCAAAGCCTCTACATGCCCTATTGTAAGTATCTTCTTATTGCTTGTTGTTACTTTGGTATGACTCCTGTCCTTTTAAACCATTTTGAGCACTGATAAAATTTATAGATATTGCTCTAGTAATTTGAAGCCTCCCTTGCTGCCTTAATTGCCAGGACCTGTTTTACACTTGTGCAAAGGCAACAAGATGAACCACTGC